TTCATGTGTGTGTGTGTGTGTGTGTGTGTGTGTGTGTGGTAGGTGGTAGAAGGTACATTTGTCTTTTATCTGGGAAGAGACATCTTGACATCCTCCAAACCATCAAACTCCCCCAAATCAGGAAGCGGTGGACCCCTGAAGTGTTACGGGGTTTATTGCTCACCATATGACTTGTGTACATCTTATTAAGACATCTACTGAATCACCATGCTGTACACCAGAAACTAACACAACATTGTAAATCGACTATTTTAACTATTCAGTTAAAAAATAAAAAATTAAACACACACAAAAAAAAGACATCTAAAGTCCTTGCTCCTTCCCGTTGATCAGGTTGATCAGCACGATGTCAGCGTGGAAGATCAGCGCGGTGCTTTATGAGACGGCGGCCAAGTTCCTACGGACAGAGCCCCGGCGCAAGACCCCAGGCGAGCAGTTGGTCCCAGCAGGTGAAAACAAACTGCCTCTGAGGGCCCTCACAAGTGGGTGTGGAGAAAAAGGCATTAGCCTGAGCAGTAGCTACCAGCGAAGAGCCGGGAGCCACGCTGACTTGCTCCTGGGAACAGTCTCCATCTGGGACAGCAACTCCAACTTGAGACCACACGATTCAGGCCAGAGTCATTCTCCAAGTTCCACCTGACTTCTGCACAGTCCAAAGAGCTGGGTTCAATGGGGATGTGATGGGTGGAAGGTATAGCTCAGTGGTAGAGCATGTGCTTAGCATGCACAAGGTCCTGGGTTCAAGCCCCAGTATCTTCATTAAATAAACAAACAAAGAAACCTAATTACCTCCCTCCTCCAAAAATATTATTTATTTTTTGGAGGGGGGAGGTAATTAGATTATTTATTTAATTATATTAATGCAGGTACTGGGGATTGAACCCACGACCTCGTGTGTGCTAAGCATGTGCTCTACTGCTGAGCTATACCCTCCCCACCAAAAATAAATTTTTTTTTAATGCAAATAAATGGGGATGTGATAGATGCCACTGCCCCCTTTAAGGTCTCAGATGATGGCACTGACCTCTGCAATCCCCCCTGGGATGCAGTGTTGTGTCTGGGTTTCTATTTTGGTGCAGAGGGGAAGTTTCTGGAGCTTACACTTAGTTCCCTACCACAGTGGCTTTCACTCCACGGGTTGGAGAGCCAGTGTGTGCAAGCATTCGTCCAGTTGCCAGGTATGGCTTTTCCAATTATACCTTCGAGAATTGAAGAAATAGCAATTGATTTTTGACAAGGATACCAAGACACTTCAACAGGAAAAGAACAGTCTTTTCAACAAATGGTGCTGGACAACTGGATACACACATGCAAAACACTGAAGTTGGGCCTCTTCCTTACACCACGCACAAAAATGAACTCAACACACAGATCAATGGAACAGGATAGAGAGCCCAGAAGTATGTCCATGCAGGTGTGGTCAGGTAATCTATGACAAAGGAGGCAAGAACTCACAGTGGGGAAAAGACAGTCTCTTCAATAAGTGGTGCTGGGAAAAGTGAATGGCTACATGTAAAAGAAGGACATTGGACCATCATTTAACACCATATATATATATAAACTAATTAAAAATGGATTAAAGACCTAAATGTAGGGCCAGATACTATAAAACTCCTAGAGGAAAACAGAGGCAGAACACTCTGATGTAAATCACAGCAATCTTTTTTTGGAGCTGTCTCCTAGACTACTGGAAACAAAACCAAAAAATAAATGAACGGGGCCCAATTAAACTCAAAAGGCTTTTGCACAGCAAAGAAACCATAAACAAACTGAAAAGCCAACCTACGGAATGGAAGAAAAATATTTGCAAATGATGTGACCGGCAAGGGATTCATTTGCAAAATATACAAACAGCTCACACAGCTCAGTATCAAAAAAGAACCCAATCAAACAATGGGCAGAAGACCTAAGCAGACATTTCTCCAAAAGACACCCAGATGGCCAACAGGCACATGAAAAGATGCTCAGTATCGCTAACTATTAGAGAAATGCAAATCAAAACTACAATGCAGTATCACCTCACACCGGCCAGGATAGCCATCATCAAAAAGTTACAAATAATAAATGCTGGAGAGGGTGTGGAGAAAAGGGAATCACTGTTCATGGGAATGTAAATTGGTGCAGCCACTATAGAAAACAGTATGAAAGTTCCTTAAAAAACTAAAAGCAGAGTTACTATATGATCCAGCAATCCCATTCCTGGGCATGTATCTGGAGGAAAACTTCAATTCAAAAAGATACATGAACCCCAATGTTCAAAGCATTATATTTATTTACAGTAGCCAAGACATGGAAGCAACCTAAATGTCCATCAACAGATGAAAAGATAAAGAAGATGTTGTGTGTGTATATAATAAATATATGCGCGCGCATGCACACACACACACACACACACACACATTGGAATATTACTCAGCCATAAGAAAGAATGAAATAATGGCATTTGCAGCAACATGGACGGACCTAGAGATTATCATACAAAGTGAAGTAAACCAGACAGAGAAAGACAAATACCATATGATATCATTTATATGTGGAATCTAAAAAAAATAAGACAAATGAACTTATTTACAAAACAGAAATAGACTCACGGACAAAGAAAACAAACTTAGTGGTCACCAAAGGGGAATAGGGGAGGGATAAATCAGCAGTTTGGGATTAACAGATACATGCTACCACATATAAAATAAACAACAAGGACCTACTGTACAGCACAGAGAACTATATTCAGTATCTTATGATAACCTATAATGGAAAAGAACCTATATGTATTTAAGTATATATATTATATATAGTATGTATATATATTATGTACATATGTATAAAATAACTGAATCACTTCCCTGTACCCTTGAAGCTAACACTACACTGTAAATCAACTACACTCCAAAAAAATTTTTTAACTGTTAAAAAAAATACACTCAAAATGGATCATGGGCCTAGATGAAGGGGCTAAAACCATAAAACTCTTAGAATAAAATACAGGAGTAAACCTTTGTGACCTTGGGTGAGGCAAAGCCTCCTTAGATGTAATACCAAAAGTGCAGCAGGAGAAATAGATAAACTGAATTTCATCAGATTAAAAACTCTGAATAAATCTAGTACGGAGATCTTGGTTTCAAATACCCTTCTCCAGCGAAAGGAACCAGGGCTCTTTGGAGACATGGCTGCTTCGAGGGCCACCTGTAGGAATATACAAGATGAACCTGGAGCATCTTACATTGCCAGATTAACAGAAAAACTAAAGCTGAAAAAAAAAAAAAGCCCCCAAACCCACAGGATGAGATTGTTCAAAGCTTAAGTGCAAGGCAGGGAGAATCAGCAGGCGGTGACTCCAGGGGCTGGCGCTCAAGGACAGAGAATAAAATAAGACACTGGTTTTCATCTGTGTGGTCTGGGCTGGTGGGTGTGTAATTTGCTCTACAAAGAGTGAGTGGATCCTGGGGTGGATCAGAGTTAGCCGGGCCGCAGACATTACCGGGAAGTGGAAGAGAGAGCACTGAAAACTTCCCGGAAATAAAACGCAGGGGAAACGGAAGCGGAAATGCAGGCGGCTTCTGCGCCCGCACAGCTGGAGGGCGGCCGGGCCAGGTGCGCTGTCTCCAGGCGCCCCGCAGGTGGGACCCGGCTTCGCAGGGCGAGCGGGGACCAGCAGGACTGTGAACGCTCCCCATGAAAACCTGCCTCCTCCTCTTCTACTTTCAGATAGGGCTTGAACTTTTCTAAGAATTAGGTCCCAGACACATTTCTGGGTAAATGTAAATCACTTCATAGTAAATCAGTTCATCGTTTAGGGAAATCAGTCTTTTCATGAAATAATTGAAGCCTCTCACACATCCGTTGGTGACAGAGGCCAACCTGTGACTTAATCACGAAGGGCTTTTTATTCTTTTAAGTGAAGTACAGTTGACTCACAAAATTATATTAGTTTCAGGTATACAACATAGCGATTCGGTATTTTTATCAATTACACATCATACAAAGTTATTGTAACAGGCTGGCTGTGGTTTCTGGGCTGTACGTCACACCCTTGTATCTTTCTCATTTTCTAGGTAGCAGTTTGTATCTCTTAATCCCCTCCCCCACCCTGCTCCCCCGTGATAACCTCTAGCTTGTTCCCTGTATCTGTGCATCTGTTTGTCTTGTTATAGGCTGTTTTTCCCTCGTGTGGAAGTTCACCATCAGGTGTGCGGGGCTAGGAAGACGGCTGCAGCTCCTTCTGCCTTCCTGCCAAGCCATCCCAAGCCTGGGATATTGTCCTGAAGTTCACCTCACCGTCTGAGTTGGCCCCTGCACTTCCAAACATTAGCTGGACACCTCAGGAAGGAACAGGGCAGGGGAGGAAGGGAGATCTTCCTGCTGAGCCAGTCCTTTCAAAGAATATTCCAGAAGCGCCAACCCCATGACTCCCACTAACTCTCAATCACCACCAGCAAGACAGCTGCAAAGGCCACTCCAAATTAAATCTGGGCTTTGACAGGAGGGGAGAAGGAGATGTTATATACTGGGGGGCAGCTAACAGTCCCCCAGCTGGGAATGGATGAAACCAACGGGGACTTTATTTTTTTTCTCCTTCCTCCCTCCCTCTCTCCCTTCCTTTCTTTCTTTTTCTTGGTAGAGGAAGGTAATTAGGTTTATTTATTTTAATTTTTTGATTTAACAGAGGTACTGAGGATTAGACCCAGGACCTTATGCATGCTAAGTACACACTCTACCACTGAGCCTCCCTCTTTTTTGGGGGGGGGGGGTGAGGGAGGATAGAAAATCTTTTGTTTGAGGGTGATATAAATTTTTTTTAAAAATCTTACAGATACAATTTATCTGATATATTTACTCTGATTAGAAAGTAAGGAAGCTATTGGATTCCAATGAATTCACAATGTTCCTATTTCTAAAAGAGGGATCAGAAAATACAACAGAAAAGTTTTAATAAATAAACTGGATTGAGTTCAACATACAATAAAATAATTAGAATAAAAGTCATGAGAAACAGTCAGGAATTTTTAGATAGAAAACCACCAACTTTACTGAGGGACACAAAACTAATCGGCACATACGGAGAGTCTCTGTCAGTAAGAATTAGCACGAGAATAGTTTGTAATGATGAGAACAGTCACTGGGGGCTCGGTCTGCGGCAGACACACAGCTCTCCGTGTGATGGGTTCACGCTCGCGCTCCTCTCAGCAGTCCCGAGGCAGACGTTCACGTGACCCCCTATTTAAGATGACACAGAGACACCCAGGAGCTGAACTTGCTCCTTTCCAGCATCTGGAAAAGGATGGAGGAAGGATTCAAGCACAGACAGATGCCTGCAACCACTGCACTGTCACTACCTCAATCTACGTAAATTTCGTGTTAATCCCCCACCCCAGCTTTGCTGAGGTATAACTGACATACAATGTTGTGTAGACGAAGGTACTTTGTTTGTGGTGTGATCGGGAAGGCGTGGCCTGGAGCTGTCGGGTGCATTTAACAGGCTGAGGTGGCCGTTGGATGAGAGTTCCGTGTGGGGTTATTCCACAGTTGGGAGAAGAAAGAACCCAAGGCAACGCCAGGGGTCAGAGTCTAGATTCTAGCAAAACAAGGCAGCTGTGCCTGGGAAGAGGCCCAGGAGAAGTGGCTCCAGGTCAGGAGGGCAAAGAGCTGAGATCCGGGCATCTGGTGTGGGTGTGCGGCCACCCTGGGCCGGAGCGGGACCACCCGGGAAAGGAGGCGGAGGAGACAATGCGAAGGTGATGGAGATTTAGGAAGAATTGAGGATTTGAACGTGGGAAATAACCCAAGATAAAAATGAGGCAAGCTCGCCCTTTTGCCTCGTTGCATCCGAGGAAGCAAGATGGGTCACCAGCAGCTGTACTGGAGCCACCCTAGAAAATTCGGCCAGGGTTCTCGCTCTTGCCGCGTCTGCTCAAACCGGCACGGTCTGATCCGGAAATACGGCCTCAATATGTGCCGCCAGTGTTTCCGCCAGTACGCGAAGGATATCGGCTTCATCAAGTTGGACTAAGTGAACGTCCTTGAATGGATCGTCCAGCACATCTACCCTATGCAGAAACAATGCTAATTCCTTGTATATAAAATAAAAATTTCAATTATGAGTGATTTAATGTGAAAAAAAAAATGAGGCAAGCTCAAACTCAAGCAAATTCCAGGAAAAGTTCAAGCCTGCATGATCAGGGCACGGAAACTGGGGCGCTCCACCTGGCTCCAGAGTGGAATACATCTGCATCGTGATAAAGATCATTTGTTTAGCTAAAAATAGGAACATAATCATATTCAGAGGCTGGAGAGAAGGCGGATGTAAAAGAGCTAAACCTTAAGTATCTTACCAGGAAGTGAATACATAATGCTGAACACTCACAAGCTAAGACAAAAGAGGCATAGAATTTAGAAATACAAAAGTAACTGCCAGGAGAAAGCTAAAAGAACTGAAAACGACAGCTGCTGGAGAACAGATTTGGGGATCGCGGGAGAGTGAGCATTATTGCTGTTGCTGCTATGGCCTTTGGTGTATTTAATTTTTAAATCATTGTGTGTATTTTTTATGTGCTGCTAAATAAATGCAGAACAGAATGGCTACTACCTGTAAATTATTTCAATTAACCCACACAATTGTTTGTTTTTAGCAAACTCTTTTCTTTTCTTGGTGAAAAATTCAGCTCCTGCTGTGCTAAGTTTCTACTTTGAGGTCTCCTCCTTTTTCAGAGTCATAAATGTTTCTGGGGCACGTCTGTCACGGGGATCACACCCTCTGACTTAAATGGTGAGCTGGCTTATTTCAGGGACTTCTACTGCTGTGCACACTCTGGGTGATAATGAATCTCTTCTCAAACCATGTGCAGGGATGAGCAGAAACGCAAGCAACTCAAGCAATGATGTTAACAATTAGACTGCATCCTCAACACGTTTATTTTTGCATTCCAGGTCTAAATTTATATAAGTAGATTTAAGGGAGAGTCTCCTTATCAAAATCCTGAATCAGATCGCTCAAGGCTGCAGACGGGGTAAAAAAAATTAACCTAGGGCTGGTTTAAAATCTAGCTCCAACCCACAACTCTGGGGCTTCAAAACCAGCCCAGGAAAAATCGGGGGCTCCTCCTCAGACGAAGTTTCCTTCGAGGGCAGCAGTGCTCTTGGAGAATGAGAGAACTCGGACACTGGGTCTCTGAGATAGAGAATGTGAGATTAAAATTGTAACTGGATTCTGGCCTCACTTTGGGAATTTTCGTACTAAATGACTCCCTAGTTGACTCCGGAGTGTTAGCAGGGACGAGCCGCCAGGGGGCGCCTCCTGGGGCTTATTCTGAGCCTGCTCTGCGCACCCACCCCCTCTAGCAGAGATTGGCTGAGGAGACGGACGCTCGGGCTCCGGAGCTTCACACTGCGCCTGTTCGCTCCCTGCGGCGAGCGAGCAGGAAATACCATTCCCAAATGCGTTTTGTGTCCGAGGCGACGAATACTGAGCTTTCCCGTTTCAGTCTAGAACGGATAAAACAGTACTGTTACTGGATTGCTTTATTATTACCGCGGGTCTTCAGAAATGCTCTGTCGGGGGTTTGCTGCGCAGGCCTCCCCTCACGTGCTTATTTAAAACGCAGGTTCGCAGGCTCCACTCCCAGCAGTGGGGTCAGCAGGCCCGGCGCCTCCCGGCCCCCACTCTGAGGGCCGTGGTCTACCTTCCGTCAACCACGTGGACGTCTGCACCCTGCACCCCCGAGACTGGAGAGGGGAATGTTCACAGCCTTCAAAGACCTGGGCTTCGGCACCCAACGCTCTGCGAAACTTATCTGGTTACTAGTTAGTTGCACAGCGTGCTTGTTGTATGTCAAGGTGGGTGAAGGTCAGTAGTCACCTCTCCTGACTGCGCACCCCTGTGGCCTTGTATGTGCAGGGACCACCCCTCCCGGCCCACTGCGGTGCAAGAAATGGAAGGGTGGGGGAGGGGAATGCCATGTCCCCAAGGGCCCTCAGTCCAAACATCACCAGTCTGGAATGCAAGCAAAAGACCACGGGATGACCAAGGCCAAGGCCACTTCAATGCCCTTTCTCCCCAACAGGAGCTCAGGAGAGAACCTGGAGATGGTGAGGAGGGGTGGGGTGGGGCCAAGTATTGTTGCATAAAAGGCCACCCCGAAGCTCAGTGGTGTGAGACAGCAACCACTTTTTATGCTCCTGGATTCTGTGGGTCGGGGATGTGAAGAGAGCACCGGGATTGCTCCACACCCGCTCCACCACGTCTGGGGCTTCTGCTGAGATGGCCTGACGAGCTGATGTGGGAGCCCAGGTGCCCAGACGGCTGAGGAACGGGACCAGCTGGTACTGTCACCTGGGGACCTGCCCGGAGCTCCCTGGCCTGGGACTTCAGGTGACGCAGGACTCCAAGGGCCAATGTCTCAGCCAACCAGGTGAAGCTGCCTGGTCTTCCTGGCCCAGCCTCAGAAGTCACAGCATGTCACCTCTGCCACACTCCAGTAATGGAAGCAATCACATGCCTGCCAGGCTCGACAAGGGGGAGAGAGAACATGGACCCTACCTCTTCATGGGAGACGCATCAAAGAATTTGGAGCAGTGTTGTAAAACCATCACAGTAGGTCATCAGAAGAGTAAATAATGAACGACAATAACAGAGGAAAATTTCCCAGGGCTGATGAAAGACACAAATTTCAAATGCAACGAGAACCACCCCCAGCACTGAGGAGGAGGAAAAAGAAGATTCAAACCTGGACATATCCTGACGATGTTTCAAATCACCCAAGTAACTACCCCTGGGAACTTTGAGAAAGAAGAACTTACTCAAGAAGAGCAACAATCAGAAGATGATCTCAGACCCTGGTTGGCAACAGTAACCCCACGCGTAAGAGCAAAGCAGATCCCGTTCCAAACAGAGGAGAGTTCAGAACGACTACCTCTCCTGAACCGTCTCTAGGAGAGCTTCTAAAGGGCACGTGCCACAAAACAAAACCGAAAAACACAAAAGGAGGGCTGGGGACCCAAGAAGTGATGAGCAACAAAACCAGGAAAGCAAGTTTTTTTAAAAAGCATATTTTAAAAAAGCGACAGCAGGGGGAGGGTGTGGCTCCCCGGTAGAGCACACACGTTGCACGCACGAGGTCCTGGGTTCTGTCCGCAGTACCTCCTCCAAAAATAAATACGCCCAATTACCCCCCCCACCAAAAGTTTTTTCAAAAATTAAGAAGCAATAGTAATTTGGAACAAAAACCTCAAATAATTTGGTCAGCCCCTCCCAGGATGGACATGAGGGCCGGCTACTTAGGACTGGTCCCAAGGGATCCCGAGAGAGCTCCAGGAGTCCGGGGTTCTCAGCCAGGCAGTGGTGCCCAAACGGATCAGCTGGGACTGGGAGGATCTGACCCAAGTCACCATCACCTCCACCACCTGGCTTCAGGGAAATCAGTCCAGGGTTTGCCCATTTCCCTCCTAACACTCTCTCTCCGTGAGATCCTGCGCCCTCCTAAGTTCCCACTGACCTGTGACGTTTCTCCTAAATTCCCCACCTTGGCCGTTTATCTGTCTTTCCTCCTTCCGCGTAGTAGATTCTCCCCCTGATGACACTACTCCCCCCTTGCACGGGGTAGGGTTAGGTTCAGCCGTGAGCAAAAGAAACACCAACGCAGCCGCGGGCCCAGAAGTTGATCTCTCTCCCTCTCTCCCCGTGAATGCAGTCGGCAGTGGCAGCCGGTCCAGGGACCCTGGCGTGCCGTCCTCCAGACGGCTGCGTGCCCGGCCGCCTGTGGGTGACTCAGCCATCGTCTCTAAGCCACAAGCCCACCTTTCTACACTGTTTGTTGTGTGACGCTGGGTCTGGAACTCTGTGAACTACGATTGCCAGGCTCTTCGGCCAGCCTGCCTCCTGCTGGGTTCTGCTGCTGGAAGGCACTAAATGGGAGACTGAGGGGAAGGCAGAAGGGACTGATGTCCTTCTCCCCAAGGCCAGCAGCCAGCTGGCTCCAGCCCCTTCAGCACTCACGGAGGCCCTGCCCTGTCCGTCAGCGTCAGCGTCGGAGGAGGCTCCGGCTGTCCTGTGCTCCCTCCCCGCCGGGGCCATGCCTCCCTTGGAAGTCCAAGTACCTGCCCAGCCCCACCTTCTCAGTCTGAGCACCAACCATAGGGAACCCCGCGCTCCGGGGTTTCGGTAACATCACCTCTTCCTTTTGGTCCTTCTGGGAGGGATCTGCTTCCTAGAATGAATTTCTGGGACACCCAGGGCCCCTTTCTGCTCATTCAGCCCTCCCGTACCCTTGTAACCAGTTCCCTGTATTAAACCCCCTCTGTTTGAAATACTTGGTGGGATGTGTTTTCTAGACCAGATCATATGACCTGTCTTCTCAGCCGGAAGCTGCACTTCATGAAGGCAGGAAGCGGACCTCTGCATCCCTACTACCCAGCTCATACCAGCAGTTTCTTAAAGAGTTGCTGAGGGGGAAGGGATAGCTCAGTGGCAGAGCACATCTTAGCATGCACGAGGTTCTGGGCTCAACCCCAGTACCTCCATTAAACAAACAAACAAATAAATAAATAAACCTAATCCTCACACACACACACACACAAAAACCCTCAAAAAATATTTTTAAAAAAAGAGTTGCTGAGTTTTTTAATTAGCCTTGAGTCCACGATGGAACTAAAATTCAAACAAAACATGACAAAACCACGGGGAACATTACTTCAGAGCGCATGTGCAATGTCAGTGTTATTGACAGAAATCAAGAAACACCAAATCCTGATCATGAGATTCTCACAATAAAGCAGCCTTTTTGATACGCATATATTTCAGAGTTAACATTTATCAAAATATTACATACGGAAACACACACAACTCTTAAGTGAACGGCTTAAGGGATTTTCATCTCATTTCCTTCGGGTGTTAGCCAAGTCACAGGTCTTTCTCCATTTCCACCTGACTCTTCTTATCCCCTTTCCTTAGGTTTTTTCCTCCTTAACCACTGTTAAGGGGTGAACTGTTCTCCAAAAAAAGAAAAAATAAAAGCCACATGGAAGCCCTAATCCCCAGTACCTCAGGCTGTGACTTAATTTGGAAGCAGGGTCTGCACAGATCTAATCAGGGTAAGATGGGGTCTTGGGGGAGTGGCTAATCCATTATGACTGGTGTCTGTCAACAAGGGACATTTGGAGACAGACCGAAGATGGCGTGAGGACAGCTGTGCAATGATGGAGTCAGAGGCTGGAGTGTCCACAAGCCAAGGGATGGCCGGCGTCACCAGAAGCTAAAAAGCGGCCAGGAAGGATTCTCCCAGAGGGTCGTCAGGGGAGCACAGCCCTGAGACTCCTTGATTTCAGATTCCCAGTCTCCAGAACTGGGACACAACACACTGCTGTTGTTCACAGCCACCCAGCTGGCGGTCCTTTGTCATGGGAACTCTAAGAGATGAACGCAAGCACTGACAGCGTGGGTTTGGTTTATTTGTTTCCCTTGATCTCCCCACGAGGCTGGGAGCTCCAGGGCGCGCAGATTTTTGTCCCTTTTGCTCTCTGTGGTGTCCCAGTGCCTGAAACACTGTGCGGCACAGCGAGGGGCGTGTGAAGGTCACCTTCAGTCCAGAGCAGACCTGAACCTGTTAGAAACCTTGACGTGAAAGGCAGGGGAGGGGGTACAAAAGGCAGGGCTGTTTTTAGCCACAAACACGACTCATAGCAGTCTGAACAAATACGGATTTATTTTTTCACCT